TGCTTGACCGATTTATTGCTTTTGATAGTGCGTCTTATCAATAAATGTAATGTGTTGATGTTAGTGTTTATTGATGTTAGTAATCAATGCATCTGATAAGAAATAAAACATATTTGATTATAATGCGATTAAATGCAAACGTGCAAGCTAGCTGAACAAGAATTATGAAAATAATCCATGGAGAAGGGGAACATGAGGTACAAAGGTCGAACACAAATCTCCAGACACAGCTAGGTGACTGGTGCGCAATCGAAAAAGATGCGCCTGGTCCGGGTGTCGAACTCGCGACCTCTTCATTACAGGTGGAGCGCTCTAGCGACTGAGCTAACCAGGGGTTAGACGGTAGTAGAGCGAACGGGTTTTATCAGCTGCCACCAGTCTAACACCAACAAGAGTGAAGCTTGCAATTCGAGGTTATGATTATAATGCAATTAAATGCAAAGGTGCAAATGAGCTGGACAAGAATGACGAAAATAATCCCCGGAGAAGGGGAACAAGAGGGACAAAGGGCAAACGCAAATCTCCAAACACAGGCGCACCAGTCACCTGGCTGTGTTTGGAGGTTTGTGTTTGTCCTTTGTTCCTCTTGTTACCCTTCTCAAGGGATTATTTTCATATTACATTTAAGTTTAATAAAAAAATACAAGAGCGTGTCAATCTGCTTTGGCCACAATCACCGACACGAGCAGATTGCGGGAGCTCCGTGAGCGAGCTACGTTCGACCAGATAGCACGAGAGTCAATCAGGAGTCTTATCGCTTTGTAAGTTTTAGGGCCACTTAAAGGGCCCATGAAACGATTTTTGGGTTGGGATAAATCATTTTAGATTGGGATTTTACTAATAGCACATCGTTCAGTGGACCAAGAGAAAAAAGGTAGAAAGTCAAAAGCCTGACTTTCAGTGCGAAAATTTGAAAACAGAGCGGACTATTTCGTACCTCCTCCCCTTCGCAACCTCTCTGCCTTTTCACTGTGATACATCCGCGGTCCCAAAAGCGCGTCATCGGGTCCAAACTGACGTCACGCGCAACCGGACCTCACTTATTCCCTTCACCCCTAAGCTGACATTGTGGTGCAAGCTACGCGCTTACCGGACCAATCAGCCGCCTCCCTTTCATCACCTGAGTTCATTCTCTGCAGCCACATTTGCCACGCTCACGTGGCAAGTGTGGCTGGCCCAACGAGCACGTAGCTTCAACAGCTCTGTCAGCTTCGGAATGAACGGAGTGGGGAAAGCAACTTTTGTCTGAATTTTGAGCGACGGGCTAATCTTCTAGGGGGAGAATGGATGTGTCCGGATTACACAAACGAGAGTGCAAGCAAGAGGGGACTCCCCCTTTTCGTCTTCTTTAAAGGGACAATGAAGGCAATTTCGGATGTCTTTTTGGCGATTGAACTGGGTTCCAGGCACGTCTCAGGCCACGTTGCCCAAATTTCAGCCGAAACCGGCGCTTGTGTGCCGCACAATTCAATTAAACAGTCGCGGTAAGAATCGTGCCGGGATCGACTGGGGCGACGCCCCAAGAGTTGCGGGAGAAGCCAGGAGAAGCGGAGCTCACGTGACCGATGCGGGGCCAAGGAGCGCGACGTCACAAGAGACGCGTCAGCGATTGGTTGAAACGAGAAACGTGCCCTCGGTCACGTTTTAGTTCGCGATTTTTAGAAATACTGTTCTAATTTCCGCTTGAATAACCATCAAAAGTATAAATCGGATCGGAAATGATTACTAAACCGTAAATAAAGCAGCTTCATTGTTTTTTTTCTTTGCTACGCTGGACGCGAAACCGGCAATGAGCAACTATGGGCCAACACAATAAAATTAAAAAAGAACACGGTACTCGAAAGATTTTGCAAAATGGTAGCTGTAGATGGCTGTTCTAACGGTCGACTGAAGACCAGTATTCGTTCCGGCGACGCTAGTTTTCACGTGTGGGTAGCTGTTTGTGTTCTTTGACCACAAAAAGGGGACGTCGGCGGAGGAAACGGATCCCGGAACGGCGGGATCGCTGCCACTTTCCCCTCCGCGTCTCCTCCGCGTCCGTCCTTCGGCATGCGGGCCGCTCGTTGCCGGCTGGGCGGTCTCCGTCGGGTGATGGCAGTGGCCGCCACACACGTACTCCCGTTCCGTTGGTGTTCGGTCACTGAACGGAAGCTCGAACTCGCTCGCGAGAGCGGCATTCGTCCATGTTGACAGAGTCGGCGCAACGACCGCGCTCGATCTCCTAAATACTACCGATACCGACTATTCACACTTCACGTCACTCCCTACGTCACCTCCGTTTTCGGAGGCCCAGAAACGAGACTGGAGATGATTCAGTTTCGGTTTCTTTGCTTCTTTCGTCGGCACATAAATACGCTTCATAAATGTCTACAAAAAATTGGGCGGCATGCTATGTTCCCAAGAAGCATTAAAACACCATTTAAAAAAAATTAAATAAAATCGTCTTCATTGTCCCTTTAACTGTTTGGTGGAATGCGCGATTTATGAGTTGAGGGGGAAAGCTTAACAGGAAAAAGTTGGAAAAGCGTTTCATGACCCCTTTAATAAGCTACGCTTCAGAGTAACGACACTTGGCCATATTGTGTCTTAAATTCATGGCTGCCAGTCATTGAGGCTTTATCTGAAATCACTGGAAACGCTTCTCCACCCTGAACAAATGTTTAAACAGTTCGCCACAGTGAGAAGAAAGATTACATAAGCTTCCTAATACCAAATGTAATCGTGAGGAAGTCGCACTTTTGAATCATGACGATCGGCATTTGCGTCTGCTCTGCGCACGCACCAAAACAACGGCGCCCACAGCAATGTCGGAGAACAGATTGCGGATGCTCTAAGCGCAGATCATTTAGTGACTCTATTAGCCTATATTCGGCTTGGCAGCGTTTTGAAGACGTCAGCAAAAGACCGATGAGATGAAAAGGGCCCAAACAAAAACCCTATTTTATTTTAGAATGTCAACCGCATGCCTTTGCTGTCCAATTATTTTTTTTTTTTTTTTTTTTTTTTTTTTACAGCGGACAATGGTTTATTGTTCTAGCGGCAGTCGTCAGGTTTCCTTGAAAGAGAAGATCCTGTGAGACGTCTAGGGTTCACTAATTTGTGAAACGAACGTCCTTTTTTGTCCTCTATGGGGTTCACTGGGGAACATAATGGTTTCTTATCCGTATTAGGAAAAGCAACTATGGAGGAAGAGGAGTTCGAGACCAAGAGAAAGAGGAGGTATCACCTTATCATTTTCAAAATGAAAAATAATGAGGTGATACTCGTCATCTGTTCTTACCCCTTCTTCAAACAGCGATGGAGATCCAGCGAAGTGGCAAACACTTTCGACTTTGAGAACTTGCTAGTACGCGCCGCCGAGAGTCACGGACTTGACCCAAAGGACCCAAGCGACGACAAACTGTTTGAGAAGCTTCTGCTACTCAAGTGCAGCTCATTTCATTTTTACCTGTTTGCGAACCTTTTATAAATAAAGAGAGAGGTTTTTCTCGCTTGAAAATTCAGGTTCGCTAGTTTCTTGCACCATATTTGGGACTTGCATTTTATGGGTCATTGCGTATAGCTTATAGTGCATTCTTAAATATTTTTACAGAACATGACGTCATTCGCGGAATAAAAGTATTTCAGTGTCTCTATTTCACTGTCTGTATTTCTGTATTCTCGGATATGTTTTACCTCTTTTTGCAGAGTATCTCCGAAATATCCGCATACAGCAAAACGAAATGTATCTCAGTATTTCTATCCCAGAATACTTCGTTAATATATCTCAGTATTTCTATCCCGGAATACTTTTTTCGTTATCTCTGCCTAGGCCTGTCTCAAAGCATCTAGCATTGAGGTCTACCCACTAACCTTTCAATCAAACCCAATCAGAGCTCGACGTCATTCCGACGTCAGCGCGACTCTGGCGTAAAGAGCAGACACATGTTTTTTTTTCCGCTGTTCATGGTAGTAGCAGCGTATCTGCAATTTTCTAACCACGAACTCATGCAGAATTCTGTTGTCCTTGGTCCAATCTCCACTCTTGCCCGTTTTGATCGGGATGAGCATCGAATCGGCTCGCGGTCGTGTATCACTACAGCGTGATGTACGTTAACAATCTAGGCTCGCTGACGTACTTCATTGGCTCATTTTCTCATTTACAGTGGGTTGCATTGTCCATGACCTACTATACTCCTGACCTACACAAAGAATGGCTCACTATGTGGCACCCTGTCGCCTATGAAGAGTCTCGCTTGGCCGTTGGAGGCGCTCAGAAAAGCCTTCTCTGCGACCCATATTTGTTTCACAGCCTGCCTGATTATACTTCGCTTAAGCTGAATTCCAGTCACCTCTGATTCAACAAGTGGGAGCTCTGGGCTTTTAGCGTTCCTGCAAAGCACGCGCGGCCGTAAAGTGCGGACACTTTTCCGGGTCACATGCTCGCACGGGTGCAGTATTGGGACAACACCGCATTAAGCTCTTTCTGAAGGCATCGTTTTTATGCAAGTATAGTTGGCTAGACTTTTTTGGAATCCAAGAACGACGCGCAGACAGATCTTGATGAGAGCTCTTTGTTTTCATGATTCATACCCAGCAAGCTAAGCAAGGTTATTTTCCCAGCCGGCGATGGGAAACAGAACCGCGTTACTTGCATTTGCCATGGCGCTTTTTGACTCAGGGACAGCGAGCCGAAGAAAAAAACATTCCTTCACCATGGGCAGCGACAAAACTGTTACCAGTGGGGCACAGTGTCGTCAGCTTCTTGACATTGGTCTATAGGGGTAGATGTCACATTTTGTGCAAGAGAAAGTGGACACAAAAAATGGTTTCCTCTTTGACAAACTTACAATTGATATCTCCTGCGAAAATAACCATTCATTCATAATTTCTAAGAACTTCAAATTGGTCGGCAATGCCTAAGTCCTAATTTATGAAATACTCTGTCACTGTGGTTATTTTTTTTTACTTGATAGAGTCAGCAGGAAATTAATTATTTTTTTTCGATTTACTCAAGCAAGTTCAGAGAGGTACCTGCAACGCATTAGAGTTCCATTTATTCTGCTTCAAATACGGGTGGGTACGGTTTACAAAGGGCGGCTTCAGGAGTAAAGTGCCTAGTAAACAGACGGTTCCAAATGTGTGCTGCATGAAGCGTCCATCTCGGCTGTGGTGCACGGAACTAGGAGCTCCCGTCACCACTGGAGCGTGGTGTACTTCGGCCTGGTGGTACGTGCTGCGGATAAAAAAGAAGCATTTTTATGTGACAGTATAACGAGAAAATCAGTATTCAATAGAAATGCAGTCAAAGGCTTGACACAATGTCGGACTCCGGAATAATTGGTGACTTTAATATCGAGCAAGCCCTTTGAGGTCCTATATATTATAATGCACATGCTTTCACGAGATAATTATTATTTTTGTTGGCATTACCTGCTTGAAAGTGATCCCATAACACTCACATTAAGAAGCCTGGCTTATTAATGGGCAAGTGCTGGCGGCCGTAGAGTATTTTTACATCACGTTCAAGTTATAAATTGCAACGCAATGTATGCGCGGTCACTGACAGAAACACAGCAGCGCCAACAAAATTGTGGTGACAGTTGGCAGACTTAACAAACAAAACTTTGGGGCGCAAACGAGCTGATAAAGGTTTAGCATAATTTAAGAGAAACCACAAGACTGGGGAAAGGACGAAGTATGCCAGAGCACACACTTAAAATTTTAACACCCTTATTGGTGTAAATGGCTTGTCCTATGGGGAGCACCCTTATTCGTGTAACAGAACACCCTAGGAAATGGGTGTAAGTCTTAGCACCTTAAGAAAGGGGTGTGATTTTCGGACACCCTAAAAAGGGGTGTGATATTCTCACACCCTAGAATAAAGGTGTGATTTTTCTAACACCCTTAGTCATGGGTGTGATTTCTAACACCCTAAAAAGGGGTGTGATTAATGTCTAACACCCTAAAAAGGGGTGTTACTTTCTAGCCCTTCCCCCCCCCCCCCCTGGTAATGTCCACTTCTCACAAATTCCTGGGGAGAACCCTGCTTGCGACATTTATTCTTTCTAGCACTGGTGACGTAAGCAAAACTCGACAGGCTTGGAAAAACGGAACGACCGGAAGTCACTTGGGACACAAGCGGCAGTTCATGTTTTTAAGCATGCTTGCAAAGTACTTACAAATAAGAGAGCGATCTCATGTAATCCGTGATAGATGCATAATCCGATTCGGGCAGCACAGAACAATTCGCAAACACAATGCCGGGGATGAAGGCGGTCGCTCACATTCAACGGAAGCCTCGCGGTCACCGATGAGCAGCACTCTGTCGCGATAGATGCACAATCCGATTCGGGCAGCACGAAACACCGCAAACACAATGTCGAGGATGAAGGCGGTCGATCACATTCAACGGAAGTCTCGCGTCCGCCGATGAGCAGCTCCTTGTCCAAACTCGTCCAACAAACACAGCACAATAATTCCATAGACTCCGACGAAATAAATGGCCAATAGATTAAAAAGTTGGCATAGATGTATTCCAGCCGTTCACGACGAAAAACCACGGTCGCGAAATGGAACTCGTGAGGACCTGCTTGCACGAGAAAGAGAACACTGACGGACGCTTTTTGGAAACCGGATTTACGTGGTCCCTACAACTCACCATAAACTGGCAAACGGCGAAGGCTATGACCCCAGTAAGCCATCAGCGTGTCAGAGCGAGTCGCGTGACAAATGTTCGTCCAAGCGTTTTTGTCCAACGGAGAGCGGTCACGTGTTTCGCTCCACACCTCCGATTCGCTAGAAGCGGCCTTCACACTCGCTCACAGCCACACGGACACAAAAGAAAGTGGGGAGGCTTATCAGAAGAAGAGGTCAAAGGGGGGTGGACAAAGCTGCTAATCTCCCTCTGCTGCCTCCTGGGCTGCACAGGGAGGGTCGCCTTGTATGTGGGACCTTGAAGTTGTTGTTCGAATGGCGGTTCCCTTTCGAAAAGTGTGGAGCCGGGGAGAGGCTTATGCTTTCTGGGTAGAACTCGTTGATCGTCGTCTTGTTTATGCGTTTGAATTTCTTCTTTCTCTTTCCTTTTTTTTTTCTTTATGTGTTTTATAAGTGTATTTATTGGTTCAGTCAGGTGAGTTTGTGCTACCCAAAAAAAGGCGCCACTGTTTGTTTCAAGCTTCAGCACAGTTAAAAAGAAAATGAATAAAAAGATTAAGCAAAGCGGAATTTGCTCGCTTTTTGCCCGATAAAGACTTCTCGGGCTAAAAGCAAGCTGATTCCGTTTTGGCTAATTTTTTTTTTTATTTTTAACGTCGTATTTTAGGCGGCAAAGAAATAGAAATACCTCTCCGGCATAGTCGATTCACGCAGGATACTCTCAACACTCAACTAAAAACGGCGTCGCGTACGTCATGTCAGGATATCGTTGGCGCGACTCATCCCATTCGTTAAATATTGGCTAAACCAAAATGGTGTGGGCACAACCTTTTCGAATATATCCAATATCGGCGACATACGGTGTGTTGCCTGGGCTGTATATTTACACGTCTTCGGTCACCTTTTGCGAGCAGAGGTGATTTTTTAAATCGAAGTTGAACTGATAAAACTGATGCACGCGCGACACGTAATTTTCGGCTCCTCTCGGACGAAGAGTTCGATCGGAGTTGCAAAAAACATCCTCTAGCACTATTCGATGTTGGTGCCGCCGTACATCAGCAACCGTTTCATCAAAGGAATAAACATGAACGGTTATAAAATCATGGGTGTAATCGACAGTATCAACATTACGCCCATCTCACACCGTGTGAATGAAAAGTTTGTGGACGTCCGTTAACCACTTGACCGGGGACAAAAGCATAGAGCACTGCTCATCGTCATATGCGCCGGGTTTTCGGGCAAAAACCGGTAGGAATAAATGGCCTCTCCTCTGGCGTGAAGAAAAACGGCGTCGATGACAATGATATTGACCGTACAGAGGGGAAAGCGGATTTGTGTAAGATGAATGTGACGCGCATTCTTGCACGTTCTCGTTGATGTCCTGAAGTTTTGACGGGACACCGGACCGATGCATCGCTACATAATTCCAAGCAATTTGAGTTACGTCTTGGTATTGCACAAAGTATAAAATCCACCGCTTAAAGCACATATTAGATAAAAATTCGAGCTTGCTAATGCAGGCGACATTTTTTTTTTTCCGGCTCATTTCATAGCTAGCTCCTCGATTTGGGGCACATGCTGCTATACCGCGATGACGATCAATCGATGTCACGATGTCCTTAACGGTTCCTCTCGTAGACAAGGGTTTCTTCGACGTGATTAACTCCGACTCCTTGAAATCATATAAGTCCATCACACCCTTCCTACACGTTATGAACGGGGGGTGTTGCGACGAGTGCCTACACCCTTCTAACACGATTTCCTGAGCATATTTCAAATTGTGGGTGTGATAGGGGTGTATGTAGGGTGTAAGCCTTCTCGTACACCCCTGTTACACCCACCAATACTAAAAATCGTGTAAAAAGGGTGTAGGAACGGTGTAGGAAGGGTGTAGGAAGGGTGTTGGTTAAAACAAACACCCTTTTAACACGATTTTGGGTGTTAAAATATTTACTGTGCACGCAGAGTTTGAATAAGACTCTGTCTGTTGAGACTCTGCGTTGTGTTGTCCTTCATCTTTTCCCCAGTCTCGGGATTTTCTTAAATAAAACGAGACTCACTTGGAGTCGAATCTAATCTTTCAGATTTGCACGACAAATATATTAAATGCTCTAAATTCGTAATGGTCATTCGTTTGTCAGGACGCGAAGAGAACCCACCCAAAAAAGGGGTCGTGCTTAGTGACGATTGTCTTGGGGTGGAAGAGCTTCTGCTGGCTGATGGTGTACCCGTGGGCGTGGGATGGCACGTAGGCCACGTCGCAGGGGTGCTCCAACAACGGCTGTTGCACCACTTTGGGGGCCACGGATACGTGTACGGCGGCAGCGTTGGAGGCGTAAGGCGTCACGAGGCAGGGCACGATGGCGGTCTGCAAGAACACGATGGAAATCGGGCTCAGTGTACGTGATTTTGAGCGCATCCTGCGCAGCGAATGCTCCAAATAAGCTTCCACTCCTCGTTTGACAGAAACGACAGTTATCATAGTGGTTGCGATATTTCTTTTAGCTCAGAAGAGCCGCAGTACCACAAAAGGAAAGTCGCCTATACAGTGTAGCCCTGTGACGTAGTGTCCAATAATAATGGTGGTGTTCGACATTGCACAGATAACAAAAATAAATGGCGACGATGGTTCAAGTGGAGTAGGCTGGCGAGATCTGGGGCTGATGTTAGAAGCGATGGCGTACTTTTTGTCGACTTTTTGCACGTGAGATGTTTGTACCAAACTTTGCGGCAACGTTTAATGCGTCATTTCAACTTACCATACACTAACTGCGAAAAAACTACATGGGCAAAGGTCTAGCTTTGAGTGGTGGTCCCGCTGCACGAGCGCTTGAGCAACCGATAAGCTAATAAAACGCGAAAAGATCGCGCATGGTTCCTTCACAGTTAACTTTTTCATGGGAGAGCAGCAGAAACAAAATCTGTTATACACGCTTTCAGCCCAGCTAAGGAAGATGCATGCCTGCCGATTTGGCGTTAAACATTGACGCGGATTAACGGAAACTGATTTTTTATAAATAGGTCGTATATTTCATGCCACTACACAGATGCATATATAAGACACAATTTTCGCGATATCTGTTAGGCAGAGCTCCAATTTCCAGAAATGTCACGCACGCTGAGTTTACTTACGTTGGTGTTGCATGCTGTTGGTGGACGGTGTGGCCTGGGTTAAAATGCTCGAGTGGAGACTGCTGCATACTCCGTAGGGGAGTTCTTTTTATGGAGAGCTGCCAGGAAAGAGTGGAGTTAGCCGTAAACAGGTTTGTCCAGAGATTGGAACAGCATATTGTTGTTGCTAGTCTACAGAAGCTGCGTATTAGCCTACGGCGGGAAAGATAGCGGTTGCAGCCGGAGCGACTTTTACCGACAACATCGCGATTCCCGTCCAACCGGTCTCAGATCAGCATATTTAACACGATCATCGCCTCTTGAGAAACTGGAATGGCCGCGCCTATGTGACCGTTGGCTTCCATGCGCACTTCGCTGTTGTTTTTTTTTTTTTGACAATACATGTCGTTGCGGAAAATGAAAATCAACCTCAAACGTGTTCTTTTTTTGTGTGTGTGTGGTGGGGTGGGGGGTGGGTCGTTGTGAATAATAAATTCATTTACCGAATACCCTCGCTTTAAGCGCGAGACACATGCGCGAAAAATCCATCCGATCCGACGTCCGATCCGGCAATACGACTGCCTGATCCGAAAACTTTGGTCGCTTCAGGCGTCGGATCGGCGATCCGACGTGCGTCCAACGCGCCAGATAGTTTCGCACGGCGGACGGATTGTCGGATGCGTCCAGCCAATGACAGCACAGCTAGCGCGAACGTCATGATGACGTACTTGGTCTGTCGGGACGAATAACAAAACGGGACGAGCGACGGGAAGCCGGACGCCGTGGAGATCCCGCTGACCCATTCGTAATAGATGGCCCCGGCAGAGAATGCACGCGCCAGCGAGAACGAGCTCCTAACTTCGCTCGTGCAAGCTAAACCGTCAATCTGGGACCAGAGATCTATGAACGCGAACCTTCGCTGGAGTGCTTGGATCTCCTGGGCGGAGCCGAACGGATTGTCGTGTCGCATGCAAGGTCGGAAGCGTGTGTCTCAAACTTTCGCGTGCGGCGATTCGGAGCGGCGTTCGGACTGTCGGATCGGACGTCGGATCGGACGATTCTGCCGTCCATGTGTCCCGCGCTTTACTCTTCACGTCCGCTACACGTTACCAGAGGCTATTGAGAAAACGGCAAATGAAGTTCATGCCCAAACATCACTTTCAAAGTATACCATTCCCTGTAGAGGGATGACGTGACGTGTGTAACTTACAAGTCAATAAGGCGCTCTGTAAACAAATACTCTTACGCACTATATGAAGTGTTCACTGGCGGCCATAGTTGTGTGCGTGACTGCTGAGCGCGTGCTGATGGCGAGCTTCCACGGTTCTTTTGCAACATGAATTCCACACCGTCAGAATTGCCGGTCTTAGCAGCCTATTATTCTGGGCTCGTTCCGAGCGTGCGCTGTAGACATCTACCACAAATATCGCGCCCAGTGAATAGCGGCGAGATGTTTCGGTGCCGCCCTCCTTCGGTTACCTTTCGTGACGTCATTACCTTGTGAACAACAAGCTCGATGGTGCTCGTAATGTGCATCCTGGAACCCTGAAATCATAGCAGTCTCAAAGCAACACTGCCAACACCGTCAAAATTGAAGTTCTTACATTCCTCTTAATTCCATCGATGAGACATCCTTTGCTGAAGTCAGCGAGTTCGTTTCACGGCACTCGTGCCCACGCGTGCCCACTCGCAGCGTGGAGCGGGTTCGTTTCGGCCGGCACTCCACGAGTGGTTGCACTCTCCGAGTTCGTTTCAGCGCTGACACCCCACGCGTGCATGCACTCGCTGCACCGAGAAAATCGAAAGTGCGCCAAAATGCAATCCCGTCATGCCTCGCTCCGGCGAGGCCGGCGAGGAGTGGGAGCAGACGACAAGGGTTCGTCTGCTACGATCTGTCGTGGAACCGAAAGAAAAAAGAGTAGATTTTCTGATAGAAATCGCGTCCCGCGGGCAACGAAATCAAACGCGAGCTTGAATTGTGAGCGTCTGTTATTTCACGAAGGAACACTCTAAAAAAAGCCAGCGAGTCTGCTTTCCCGCACAACACTCGGAGAGCCAATCACCGCAACTTACAAAGGCAGTTCAGCGAATGACAATGCCGAAACATATGTTTAGACCGAAAAACGCAGTCTGAGTTGTGATATTAAGCAATGCAAAAACGTCACGCTTGCATTGCCTAATGTCCCAACTCAGACTGCATATTTTGGTCTAAACATATGTTTCAGCATTGTCATTCGCTGAGCTGCCTCCGTAAGTTGCGGTGATTGGCTCTCCGAGTGTTGTACGGGAAAGCAGGCTCGCGGGCTTTTTTTAGAGTGAAGCAATTGACAACCCGTGATTCATTTACAGGTTTTAAATTCCTCTGTTGCCGTACAAACGCTGAAATATACCAGTGTGTAGAGAAATGCTCAGAACAAACGCAGCAGCAGCTCCCGAGATGTTTATCACCATCCGTGTGCGGGTGAAAAATTTAACATATTTCGACAAAACTCCCCCAGCAGAAACCTCTGACGGCCCAATAAGCATCAGAGAAAGCTAAGCATTGTTACTTTACCTAAGGATTGGGCAACATCATCATGTTTAACATTTACCTGCTTCAGCTAAATTGCCCCGTCGTATTTTGTTCGAGAAAGCTCTCGTTCTCGACGCCCTCACCAAGGCTAGTATCTGATCCACCTATAATGACGATCCAAATCGAAAGTTCCACGAAAAGTTTTGCTAAATATTCTGACAGACTAGTTTAAAGCCGTACTCTTTCAGTGGTTCACGCATCATATGAACTTTCCCTAAGTCTGCTTCGCTCATTGTCTCGTTTGCTTCTCTTAGCGTTGCAGAAACGTTTTCCCAGTATTCGCAAATGTCCCCAGGGCCCGTTTGCTCGAAGAGCTAACCGCGGCTAAAGTTAGCCGCAGTACCGAGGAGAGGGATTTTGAAATCACGCGACTGGCTTGGCAGGGATGAGGGGAAACATGGCGGTGCCCCGGTGACTGAGCGCCGCTCGCTTTAAAACTGGCATGTCGCTGTAGCTGCAATACCAGGCGCGTTAACCAGCAAGGAATGGTGCAGGAGGCTATCCCTTTGCCTTACCGCACTTAAATCACAAAGCATGACCACTGACCTCGCTGCATTTTTTAGACAGTCTTTCGATTCTGGCCATTCTTAAGCCTAAATGAAGACGATTATTGTCGGCATGGCCACGCCTTTGGGAAGTGGATTTCCTTGACTCAATCGGCCGGGTATTGATAGCACACAAAGGGAGACAGCGTCCCAATAGACCTTTTTTTTAATTTCCCAAGCACCGAGGTGCATGCTACGAGTGTAGTTACACGCATTGCACTTGCTGGTGTGTGCAATAGTAATTGTTCTAAAGCAAAAAGTCTAAACCAAATTTTTGCCTTGCACGCGCGTTCGTCAAAGCCTTATTATGATTATTTACTTCGAATCTTTAATAAGAGGAAGGCCAGCGCTCGCGGACCATAGAATTACACTTCCAGCGTTCTTCTCAATGCTTGGGTATCAATACCAGGCCGATTGGGTCAAGGCAATCCGCTTTCCAAAGACGTTGACACGCCGACAATTACCGCATTCATTTAGGCTTAGGAACGACGAGAATCAAAAGACTATCACAAAAATGCGGCGAGGTCATTGCTCATGCTTTTCGATTTAAGTGAGGTAAGGCAAAGCGAAAGCCTCCTGCACCATTCGTTGCTGACTAACGCGCCCGATATTGCAGCTACAACGACACAATAGTTCCAAAGCGAGCGGCGCTCACTCACCGGGGCACCGCCATGTTTCCCCGCATCCCTACCGAGCCAGTCACGTGACTTCAAAATCCCTCTCCTGGGTAATGTGGCTAACTTTAACCGCAGTTAGCGCTTCGAGCAAACGGGACAAGGAGGGTGGAAAACCCCTTGCCCTTTTCCTGCTTTCTTCGACGTTACAGAACCTTTAGAAAATATTACTATATTTATTTTCAGCATCAGTCCAGACGCAGCGACGCTACGAGCTCAATCGACCCATGAAACAGGGCCAAAAGCGCAAGTCACTAAACTTTTTCTCTTTAAGATTGGTTCAGCGACGATAGAACGCGTATTCAAACTTGACGAACACCATGATGGTGCGCTTCTGACAAAGCCTGGTTCGTCTCACCAGCTCATAGTATCGGCTGCGTCTGGACTTAAGGTGAAACGAAGTGTAGAGGTTTGCAGGCACTCGCGCTTCGAGAGGTAGTCTGGCCACCGTGGATGGAAATGCTTTGTTTAGGCGCCAGTTCGGAAACCTTGGGTAGGCCTCAGCAATGCTTGACTATCAGACGATCAAGACAGCAAACCGGCAGCAAGATGGCCCTACCCAGAGGTCGTACTTGCAAACGTGTCAGATGAACGATCACCCCTGTCCACCCTTCACGTTTAGACCTGACTGCGAGTATACATAATAATTTTTAGGATTTGCAGATTATTTTTTGTCGTAAGTCGTGGAAGTTACATTAAAATAACACTGACACCACCCAGGCGCTTCATTATGGTGTCGGAGGCCTACCCAATTAATGTTTTGCAACAGAGTAGCGTATATTTTTAATAAAGCCAAAAGGCGCAACTGCTCGAAACCGAAACCGAAGCCCGCGCACGGAGGTCGGAGAAGTGGAGAGAAGAGAGAGAGTGGCGGAAGTCACGTGGCTACACCCGACCGTGCGTTTTTCTTTTTTTTTTCTCCTTTCCGTAGCAGACGACATGCGGCGTAGAGAGAACTGTTTGCCGTGCGATTCTTTTGCAGTTATGTTTGTTCCGCTCGCTGTTCTGTACTTCAAGATGAGTTGTTGTGTACATTGGGGAGTTGGAGATGAGTAGTGGGTGCCCGTGGTGAATTTCCACGATCGGCTCCGAAATGAATACACCCAAGATGTTGCGTGAAGAGCTGGCCATAGGAGGCTATGAGCTGGCTCACATGTCCTGCGTTCGAAAGAAAAGTGTCATTGTGCGACAGTTTCCGAAAGATTAACGGGATCGGGAAAATGGCTGGCTGCAATGCCTGCAGAGCATTTACGGGCACATCGGAAAGCG